CCTTGAAAGATCTCTGATCTCTTCCTCCCATCTCCAGAGGAGAGGTCTCTTTCTCTGCCCCCTCTATTCCTGGGCAGCCCTTTCCTCTGGAACCTTGTTTTATCTGTTGTCTCTGCCTCCTCTACCTTCTACCACCCTTCCTGCACTGGATCCTTCCCTCAGCATAGGTTTACGCTGCTTTCATTTCTCCTATTTAAAAGAATTCCTCCTTCCCGTCCCACCTCCTCTCCTAGCTCACCGCTCCCTCCCCTTTTCTTCACTTCCAAGCATTTTGGAAGATGAAACTGGCCCATCCTCAGGGATTTACTCCTCTGCTTCTGTAACTAGGAATCTTATTCATCCTTGTTTTCATTTATTTATTTCAAAGTAAAAGTTGTCTTACTGATTTTTCTTCTGCTCATAAAAGCAGTATATTTTGTCTTAAAAGTTCACTCAAGGGCTTCCCTGGTGGCTCAGTGGTAAAGAATCCACCTGCCAATGCAGTAGACACAGTTCGATCCCTGGTCTGGGACAATCCCATATGCCGTGAAGTTACTGAGCCCATGCACCACAACTATTGAACCTGTGCTCTAGAGCCTGGGAGCTGCAGCCACTGAAGCCTGAGTGCCCCAGTGCCCATGCTCCACAGCAAGAGGAGTCACCTCAATGCAACTAGAGAGTGGCCCCCGCTCGCCAAAACTAGACCAAAAAGCCTGAGCAGCAATGCAGATCCAGCACAGCCAAAAGAAAATAAAATAAACATGTAAAAGTTCACTCACTATATAAAGAAACTCAAATTAAAAATAATAATAACCAGGGGTTTCCCTGGTGGTCCAGTGATTAAGACTCTGGACTTCCACCATAGGGGACATGGGCTTGACCGTGTTGGGAGCTAAGATCCCACATGCCTCAGGATGTGGCCAAAAATTTAAAAAATTATAATAACAACAGCCAGTAGCTCCAAAATTCAGAGACAGGGGCTATATGCATTGCTGGGTTCCCCTCTAATAGCTGTTTTCCTATATCTTCCTGCCTGCCAAAGTTTGGCATCTACCTCACCCCACACATGACCAGTGACATATCTAGTCTTGTTCAAACTTTTTGGTCTCTGAACCCCTTTACACTCATAAAGATTACTGAAAGCCCAAAGAGCTTCAGTTTAATAAGCTATGTCTGAATTTTACTGTTCAGTTCAGTCCCTCAGTCATGTCCAACTCCCTGTGACCCCATGGACTACAGTACGCCTGGCTTCCCTGTCCATCACCAACTTCCGGAGCTTACTCAAACTCATGTCCATAGAGTCCATAGGTGCCATCCAAGCATCCCATCCTCTGTCGTCCCCTTCTCCTCCAGCCTTCAATCTTTCCCAGCATCAGGGTCTTTTCAAATGAGTCAGTTCTTCACATCAGGTGGCCAAAGTATTGGCAATTCAGCTTCAGCATTTGTCCTTCCAATGAATACTCAGGACTGATTTTCTTTAGGATGGACTGGTTGGATCTCCTTGTAGTCCAAGGGACTCTCAATAGTCTTCTCCAACACCACAGTTCAAAAGCATCAATTCTTCGGCACTCAGCTTTCTTTATAGTCCAACTCTCACATCCATACATGACTACTGGAAAAACCATAGCTTTGACTAGATGGACCTTTGTTGACAAAGTAATATCTCTGCTTTTTAAGATGCTGTCCAGGTTGATCATAGCTTTTCTTCCAAGGAACAAGTGTCTTTTCATTTCATGGCTGCAGTCACCATCTGCAGTGATTTTGGAGCCCCCCAAAAAATAAAGTCTGTCACTGTTTCCACTACTGTATTAGATGCTAAATTTTAAATATTTACTAATCTATCTAAAAATAACAATAATAAACCTGTTATAGGTTAACACATAACATTTTTTATGAAAAATAATATATTTTCCAAAACAAAAAATATTTGGTGAGAACTGTGGCACTGTTTTACGTTTTAGCAAATCTTTTAGTGTCTGGTTTAATCGACAGCTGGACTTTCATATCTGCTTCTGCATTCAATCTGTTGTGATATGTTGTTCTGCTTAAAAAATGTGTGAAATGTGGTCTCACAGATAGGTGGTTAGAAAAGGGAGGGGTGTTTCAATATTCTTTTTATATAATTGTTGACACTCTGATTTGCTATTACATCAATACTCAAAAAATAGGAAGGATATAGGAAAAAAAATAATGGGGACATCCTTGGTGGTCCAATGGTTAAGAATCTATCTTGCAATGCAAGGGATGTGGGTTCAATCCTTGGTTGGGGAACCACATGCTGTGGAGAACTAAGCCTGCTCACCACGAAGAACGAAGCCCATGCAACACAACAAAAGATCCTGCCTGACGTAGCGAGATCCCGTGTACTGAAGCCAGACAAATACTTTCAAAAAAAAGAAAGAAAAGAAAATAGTGGTTACCACTGGGGAGGGGAAAGGAGGGACAGAGAAAATAGGGGCAGGGACTAAATAGGTACAAACTACTATGTATAAAATAATCTACAAGGATATACTGTACAGCACAGGGAATACAGCCAACAGTTTATAATGACTATAAATGGAGTATAACCTTTCAGAACTGTGAATCACTATGTTGTACACCTGAAACATATTGTACATCAACTATATCTCAATTTAAAAAAGAAAAAACAAATAGAAAAAACTCCGAAAAGGTAGTAGTTTCATATCTATAAATCTTTTGTACTTTCTGTACACCTGTAAGAGAAGGAGAATAAAAGGCGGGAAAAAAAACCTTAGTAGTATTATGAACATAGTTTTGACCTCATAGACCCATCTGATAGGAGTAAGGTCCCTGGAGCACACTTGGAAAACCACTGGTCTAAACCAGTGATACTGTTCCCTTTACCAGTGATATAGAATGGACATGTGACCCAATTCAGACAAAGGAGAAGTGAATGGAATTCTTCAGTCATTTGGGAAAAGTTTCCTCAAAGACAAAAAGTTGCCCAAGAAGACAGAGCTACGATGCTTCTGCTGGTTAACATTGTGTTTGCCTTGCCTTTTCTAGGGGAGGTGCCTGAGGATGCCAGCACAGACATGATGCCAGAACCAACCTGCAGTTACCTTGGCTTAGGACTGAGAGCATGTGAAATTAACTTTACTTAAGGAAAAAGAGCAGGTAGGAACCTTTGGGGGACAACCTTCCAGACTTTCTTCTAAATGTTTATACATGCATGTTGATATTAATCTCTGTATTCCTGGCACTTAGCTCAGTGAATTACCTGCTACATCTCAGTGCTCAATGAATGTCCTTTGAAGGAATAAATCAATGAGCACATGGTGTTTATTGACTAACAATAATTTCCTCTCACTCTGTTCTTTGAGAGAATGAAGAAAAGCAGATCCCTCTAAGAATAACATGTTTCCTGGGTGCTATGAGACATACTTAAACAAATATCAGAGAAGAAGGCTGTTTTCTCCATTTCTGGACACTAAACACCCTACCTCCCCAGCATTTTGAATTCTAAAGGAATTCAGGCGTTTGCCTAACACAACCTGAAGATTTGGTACTTTGTGCTACTATAGTGATTTATAGTTTACAAAATGCTTTCGTGATTATTTCAGTCAAGTTAAGTAGTCAAGTTATGATGTAGTGCTATCAACCTTCCTACACTGTTGGTGGAAATGTAAATTGGTACAGCACTATGGAGAACAGTATGGAAGTTCCTTAAAAACCTAAAAATAGAATTACCATATGATACAGCAACCCCACTCCTGGGCATATACCCAGAGAAAACCATAATTCAAAAAGATACATGCACCCTAATGTTCAGTGTAGCACTGTTTACAATAGCCAAGACATGGAAGCAACCTAAATGTCCATCAACAGAAGACGAGATAAAGTTGTGGTATACATACGTAGTGGAATATTACTCAGCCATAAAAAGAATGAAATAATGCCATTTACAACAACATGGATGGACCTAGAGATGATCATACTAAGTGAAGTAAGTCAGAGAAAGATAAATATATGATATCATTCATATATGGAATCTAATTTTTTAAAAAATGGTACAAATGAACTTTTTAAAAGACAGATTCACAGACTTTTGAAAACAAACTTATGGTTTATCAAAGGGGAAATGTGGTGGGGAGAGAGAAATTAGGAGTTTGGGATTAACATACACACTGTGCATGCTAAGTCGCTTAAGTCGTGTCCAACTCTTGGCACCCCTATGGGCTACAGCCTGCCAAGCTCCTTCGTTCATGGACTTTTCCAAGCAAGATTACTGGAGTGGGTTGCTATGCCTTCCTCCAGGGGATTGTCCGGACTCAGGGATTGAACTCGTGTCTCGTGTCTTTTGCACTGCAGGCGGATTCTTTACCACTGAGCCACCAGGGAAGCCCCATATACACACTACTATATATAAAATAGATAACCAACAAGGACCTACTGTATAGCACAGGGAACTCTACTCAATATCTATAATAACCTATATGGGTAAAGAACCTGAAAAAGAATGAATATACGTGTATGCATCACTGAATCACTTTGCTACACACCTGAAACTAACACAGCATTATAAATCAACTATACTCCAATAAAATTTAAAAATAGAATTAAAAAATGTAGAAACTGGCAATTCACTATATGAATAATGGTAAATTGAAGAATGTATTGATTCTTTTCTTACCTCTTCCTTATTAGCAAATGAGAACACATAAAAAATTTATATGATCTAGAAAAGGCATCTTATAAACAAAAAAGAGAAAGACGAAGAAAGGCAGTCCATGAAAGATTGAGTGGTTCAAAGTTAGACTAGAACTGCAAGTCCAGTGTTCTTAGAGGTTGAGCATTTTGAAACTCTGTCAACGGTTATGGGGTGGGTCTCTGTCTGACCACACTGTGCGGGAAGGGAAAACATGCAAGGAAAACTGGCCTTTGTCTCAAGCCCCACCACCTGGGAAACCCAGAACCTGTGAGGTGAGCCAGAGTGGCCCTGTGATCTGTCACAGTTGAACGGCACTAAAATGACAAGCCTTTGTTTTGAATGACTTTACCTGGAGGTGATCTCTTCCGCTAGGATGACTGTGACATTAAAAATGGACGAGGCCAGGGACATTTCTCACCCGGAGCTCAATGGGAACTGGCAAGTGTCAGATTTTAAATTTCTCACTGCAACTCACAAGCTTCTGCTGACCTGAACTTGAAGGCTCCAACCTGGAAACAATCCAGAATTAAATGCTGATAACTAACTCTGGGAGAGAAAGTATGTAAACTTTCCTGCCTAAGCAGTAGTAAAGAGAATTGGGGCTTTACCTTCACTGTGAACAGGTGGAAAATAACCTAGCCAGGGTCCAAGCCCACTGTCTTATCTTGCCCTTGTCACTATTCCATTATGTAACTCCAGGCAGATGGCTTATTCTCTCCAGAACTAGGCTTCCATATTTATTTTTTAAATATTTATTTATTTATTTGGCAACAATGGGTCATAGTTGGGGTGAGCACGAGCTTCGATCTTCATTGAGGCATGTGGGGTCTAGTTCCCTGATCAGGGATTGAACCTGGGCTCCCTGCATTGAGAGTGCAGAGTCTTAGTCACAGGACCACCAGGGAAGTCCCTGTATTTTTAAGAAGATAAGAATCAGATGGTCTCACAGGTGACAGCATCTGAAAGCATAAGCAGTATCTACATAAACTTAAGTCCATTTCTTTAAAGAGAAAAATATTTACTCACATGGTAAAAAATGAATTGTGGGACACACATACATATTGAAAAGTTTATAATCTCATAGATGAGATACGTAGACATAGTTGAAAACAGTAATTCATACCTGCTGCCTTAGTTCTTACCTAAGCCCCAGATCACTTGTCCGGTCCCACAGCAGGGTCTCAGCATCATGTCTGGACCTGATCTATACACACAAATGCTTCTCAATGAATGAGTGTGAATAAGAGTGCCCAGGCTTTATTTCTTGTGGGATGCGTGCATGCATGCTAAGTCACTTCAGTCATATCCAACTCTGTGACCCCACCAGGCTCCTCTGTCCATGGTATTCTCCAGGTAAGAATACTGGAGTAGGTTGCCATGCCCTCCTCTAAGGGATCTTACCTATCCAGGGATCAAACTCATGTTTCCTGTGTCTCCTGTATTGCAGATGGATTCTTTACGTCTGAGCCACCTGCAAAGCCTCATCTTTTGTGGGCTAGCCTGACGTAATAGAAAAAGACCTGGAGTCCAATACACCTGGTCTCAGTTCCCAGCTGTGTGACCTTGGGCATGATCTCTGTTACTTGTCAAATGGGATTATTGTGAGAAGAGAAGATCATTGGTGTGAGTTCTCTGGAGCAGCACTGAGCCCAAAGCAGGTGCCAGGGCATGGTATCTGCCATCTGTAACATGGGACAGTTAAGACAAGCACACTGGAGTTTGGATAGCAGAGAAGGTGTAATTATTTCATGTTGGGGTGATCAGGCCAGGATTCCTAGGGAGGAGTATTTAGGTAAGACCTGGAAAGAGTGTCCCCCAGTTTGATAGGTCAAAAAGGGATACAAGTGAAGGACAGCAAAGGCCAGGAAGCAGGAAGGTGTAGTGAACATTGAGGACCTAGAAAGGAGGATGGTTTGTCTGGACAAAGAAGCTACTGAAAATGGAAACAGGGGCCAGGATTTTTAGGGTTCCAGGTGACACAATATTTGGACTTTATTCTAGGGAAAATGGGGAGCCTGTGGAGGTTTTGAGCAGAGATGTGACAGATTTAAGGAGCTACACTTTGGGAGGCTGGCAGTCTAGTGGTTAAAGATCCGCCTTCTAACGCAGAGGATACAGGTTCAATCCCTGGTTAGGGAACTAAGATCCCACAGGCCGTGGTGCATGGCCAAAAAAAAAAAAAGGAAGAAGCAACACTTATTATTAGGCAAGTAGTAGAAGTTACCCATAGCTACAACTCAGAGAAAAGTGAAAGTGAAAGTCACTCAGTCACGTCCGGCTCTTTGCGACCCTGTGGACTGTGTATTCCATGGAATTCTCCAGGCCAGAATATTGGAGTGGGTAACCCTTCCCTTCTCCAGGGGATCTTCCCAACCCAGGGATCAAACCCAAGTCTCCCGCATTGCAGGCCGATTCTTTACCAGCTGAGCCACAAGGGAAGCCCACAATGCAGAGAAAAGATGGGTACAACTTTCAAAGATAGACTCTGAAGTAGGAGTCACTGTAATCAATCTACACTGCTGTCATGGCAGATATGCTCAGTAATGCCAATCTCTAAAAAAATCTTGAAGAGGGAGATTGGCATCATCTTGGGTTAGGTGGGGTAAGACAAGACAACTTAGGATACATTCTCGGGAGGAGGGAGATTTATAGAAGGATTTCTGGCTCTCACTGCTGTGGAATTTAAATGCATTAGTCATGTTACGATCTTGAATGTGCAACTATACTCAAGAGTCTTCAGGGACCCAGGGTGACAAGACGACTTGATTTCAGTGAGAAAGCGGCATGTTCTTTGACCCTGAGTAACACTGATGTTGAATTACAATCCTTGAACACAGGTAAAGAAAGATGTGAAAGAAAAGGAAAATGAAGGCATGAGGAAAGCAAAGAGAAAGGGAGGAAAAAAGAGGAAGGTTATGGAGAGAAAAGAAAGAAAAAAGTGGGGCAGATTCAGGACGGATGTGAGGTCTGCTCACAGTGGTCAAGCCTAGCACTGCCCAAGGCGCCTGAGCTGACAGAACAGAGACACGAGGCTGAAAGACTATAGTCAGTTTCATCTTTTTGGCTATAAACAATTCACATGGAAAATGTTGGATGCGACTTCACTGGCTCAGTATAGAGGGAGGAGGTCTAGTCATCAATCTTGGAACTTTTTCACTTCTGGGGATTGTCACCCATGTCAGATCCATCTGGACATTTCTAGGTTTTTTGTTTTCTTTTTTCCAAAGCCTTTGCCAAGAAAGGATAGTTAACACATTCAGTTGTAAGAAAGTAGGACACAGAGGGAAGAAATTGGGCGTTAGTATCAGTTTCTTCCATTTTCATAAAGCCCAAGAGTTCTTATGGGATCCTTAGGTCTGTTAAATAATTTACTTCTCAGTCATTCATTCTTTTATTCAACAGCTATTTAACAAGGACTTGGGGGGGGGTGTGTGTGTGCACGCACACACGCGCGCTAAACCACCTCTGTCACATCCAACTCTTTTGACCCCATGGACTGTAGCCTGCTGGGCTCCTCTGTCCATGGGATTCTCCAGACAAGAATACTGGAGTGGGTTGCCATTTCCTTCTCCAGGGGATCTTCCCGACCCAGGGATCGAACCTGCATCTCTAAAGTCTCCTGCACTGGCAGGTGGCTCTTTACTATTAGCACCACCTGAGAAGCCCTAGGCACCATACTGGTTACTGCTGGGCTTCTAGCAGGATCACCTAGATCCTGAAGATGAGCTCCTGCCCTAGACCACAGAACAGAGAAGATATTGCAAGACATTCCCTTAGTTATGCTTCCGGTAACAAAAAGCAAACAATACAAAGAAACAAAGCTCACTGGTCTTGAGTTCCCCTTATGGTGCCCTGCAATTCTGCTTGTCTGTTTTCTCCTGGTACTATGTATCCTCTGTTCTTAAAATACCTCTGGGAACTTCCCTGGTGGTACAGTGGTTAAGAATCCACCCTGCGATGCAGGGGACGTGGGTTCAACCTCTGGTTGGGGAACTCAGAGCCCATGTGCTATGGGGGCAACTAAGCCTGTGCACCACAGCTACAAAGTTCGTGTGCCACAACCTAAGATCCTGCATGATGCAACTAAATGCCTGACACAGCCAAATAAAAAATAAGCGTGTTTTTTAAAAGTTTTTAAAAAGTACTTATCTTTGAAAGTAGCTGCTGGATTAAATAATTCCATTCATTTAGTTTTCAGTCTTAAACCATGATTTTGTTTCACTCCATCTTTATAACTTTTATTTACAATGGTTGCTGGATATTAACTCCTTCCTGGGAGCCAGGCCTTTTATTTTCATTATCTTTAAGCCTTACAACAGGCTCTTGAAAGAAATGGAGACTCAGCTGGGTTTCATTACCTGCCTAGAAAGCACAGCTAAAGAGCAGTCAAGTCACGCTTCCTTGACTTCCAAGACTCTTTCCCAGACACAGTATGGCCTCCCAACCCCCACATGTGAGTTATTTCCCCCTGCTCTTGACCTTGCCAAGGAACCAAAGAATTTCAGTGAAGAGCCTGTGCCCCTTGGTTTTCTATTAATAAATGTTTGATTAGTTCTAAATGAGCTGTCACCATGCCTTGGAATAAGAATTACAAGCAGCTCCATAAGCTGATTGTAAATTGACAGCCACATGATTCAAGTGGTTACTGTGACAACAGCTGAGGAGAAAGAATATTTGATTATGGAGATGTGGAGGAAGGGGACCAGAGGGTCTAGGGGAAGAGTCAGGCATTTCTGGCCTGATGAAGCTTCAGAATCAAGAAGCAGTCTTTGTTCTGTCTCTGCAGGTTTTGTTTTTTTTTTTTTCCAAAAAAACATTTTAAATAGTATCTTCTTAACTTGAAACCCCTTATTGCATAGAAAAATGGTACGACTTGTGTTTCTCTAGTTTCATTGGGAAATGGGAATATTAAAGTGTGAACTCCAATCATCTATGAAAAATTCTTGCCTGAGGATCTTGGCTCAGATCTGCAAGCATAAGGCATTTAAATAGCTTTCCTGATGAGTATCTTGAGGTTATCTCCCTGAATTAAGTTTCTGAAGCTCCCTCCCAAGGCCTCCTTGCCCGTGTGGGCAGGGTCCGGACACATGGTAGGTACGAGAAAGGCTGGGGTGCAGCCTGGGAATGGCAGTGCCAGGGCCTGGTCACCCTCCTGGGATTCGACAAGTGGTTCCAGCCACGAGGCTTCGGTCAAATCACTTGACCTCTTTTTTTTTTTTCCCCACTTGACCTCTTTACACTTTGCCAACCTCACCGATAAAATGACAGCGATGTCCTCTACCCCTGGGGTCCTGGTACAGGTGACAGTGCAGGTGCGGCACCTGGGCTGTGGATGCCTGGTGTGACGGAGGAAGAGGGTCCCCCCTCCTCCACTGATGCTACCTTTAGGGACCCCGGTGGGGGGCGGCGGGGAGGGTGGATGTGCAGGATCATAAACCAATGCCCCTTCCCACGTGAACTTGCCCTGTGTGTTGGGGGCTGGGCTGGGGAAGGGGATGAAGGGTGGATCTCAGTTCCTCCCAGCGGGGCCCTCCCCCAGAGCCCCACCCGCACCGCACCGCCAATCCATGTAGGCCCCGTGTTAACCAGTCAGGTATTGTATACTGTTCTTAGTATTTTTCACTGCATTTTGGCAGTCAGCTTTGTTATCTGTTATCCATATTGTTTTCCGAATGTTCATTGATGCTCAAGAAGGCAGATGAGACTTAAAGCACATAAGAGTTCATATTGTCACCAGCAAAGCCCACTCACCATTTTCAGGAAGTAAAAGTAGAATCTGAGTAATCAAATAAAATCAAACCTTTTCCTTTTCCTTTGTGCTCAGTCTAATTCCAGCAGTCCAGAGCGGGGTACTTCGGACCAGAATTCCTCCTGAGAAAGGCTGACACCTCAGCCTGGTGGGCCGTGTGCAAAAGCGGCTGCACGAGGCACCACGCGGGATTCAAGATGGCGGCGGCGGGCCGTGTGCAAAGCCTGCGGCAGGCGGCGGGCGCAGGAGCGCCAGCCGCTCGGCGGCTGATCCCTCGAGAGCCCGCCCCTCCCCGCGAGAGGACCTTAGAAAGCAGTGTGCTTTAGGGTAGCCATCTGCAAGCCTTTTTGGCACCAGGGACCCGTTTCAAAGAAGACAATTTTTCCAAGGACTAGGGGCAAGGGGATAGTTTCAGGATGACTCAAGTGCATTACATGTATTGTGCACTTTATTCCTATTAGTATTATATCAGATCCACCTCAAATCATCAGGCATTAGATCCCGGAGGTTGGGGACCCCTACTCTAGAGCCCAAGCTGACACCTCTCCACACTCTGTTGAGAGAATAAAGCTTTCCTTTGCTTCCATACTGAACTCAGTCTCACTCTATTGGCTTGGACAACAGCAGGGTTAGAGGACCCTGGCTGGGGCCTGATTTGAGAGGCTCGGTAACAAAATTGCTATCAACAAAAGGAACATATTGCCTCACCTGTTTGCATTCCTTTTTGAGAAGGTGGAAGCCAAGGATGCTAAGTTTAAGCACTTAGTTTGAAAACAATGTGCTGGTTTGGGAATAAGAGTGTGTTGGGGGACAGTGGCGGCGGATTGTACAAGCAGCTGCGGTCAGCAAAATATCACCCGGGGGCCAAGGTATCTGAATGTTCCAGATCTGCCTAGAGAAGTAGGTGTGATGGCAGAGCTCAAGGTCTGGAGTCAGGAAACCCTGTTCTGACCCTCATTCCTCCGGTGATCATGGACCAGGTCTTCAAAGTCCTATTCCTTCATTTCAAAAATTTGGGTTATGATCTCTTGTCTATGTAAGTTACAGAGCTTTGAGGTTCAACAAGGTAATTCAAGGAAAAGTGCTGTGAATTCTGCAAGTCACTATATCCATGGAAATGAAAGTTTCTCCTCTCAGTGGATTTGTTAGGTTTGTGGAGACAAAAAAGCAGGGTTTTGGCCTGTTGCAGGAACAGGGACCTGAGCTTTATCTTCAGTTTAATATCATAGCTTCTGTATGGATGTGGGGCAGCACCTGCTGGACCCTGGTGGGTGAGGGCACACTTTGGAATCACCCTGCCTTGCAGATAATGCTTGGCTGCCCTTGGTGATGAGGTCTGGAGCATCCTTTGCCATTAGCCTGTGGAGACAACTTTTGCATTTCTTGTTCTGTCCAAAGACTTCATACTTGTTGAAACCAATCATATCTAGCACTTAGATTCGATGAAAATTCCCAGAAAACAACCTTAGAGGAACCTCACCTGAACTCTCAAACTCTCTCTTGTCTTCTCCACCCCAATATGCTCATGTGTTCACAAAGCTGAACCATTACCACAACCCCCCATAGGACAAATAACAATCGAGTTACAAAGAAAGTGATTAATAGTTCATTTTCTTGGAGTCTGGCTGCATCCAACACTGAGATGCCAAGAATCTATGACTTCACCTTTTTTTTTTTCCTGACACACTCCTAAAATGCACGACTGGGCACAGTTCCACTGGGAAACTAAATAAATCAAGAAGACAGAGTTGCCTGTGAGACGCTGAGAATTCAGAATTCAAGTTAGCTTCAACTTTGATTTGCTCTTCTTTTTCTTAATGGATGTTCTCTTTAGTTTTCATGGATTTGTGAAATCATATCATTTGTGGTTGACTCTACCAGTTTTTCCTGTAAAGCAAGAAAAATTTATTTTTATTTTAGGAAAATAGAAGCCTAGAGAAGGTAATTGGATTGAGGCGCCCCAAAACACATCTATTTATTTATTTTTATTAACATTTTTATTTTTTATTGGCATATAGCCTATTAACAATGTAGTAGTTTCAGGTGGACAGCAAAGAAAATCAGCCATGTTTATACATCTTTCCATTCTCCCCTAAACTCCCCTCCCATCCAGGCTGCCATATAACATTAGGCAGACTTTCCTGTGCTATATACAGTGGGTCCTTGTTGGTTATCCATTTTAAATATAGCAGTGTGTACATGTCCATCCTGAACTCCCTAACTATCCCTTCCCCCTATCTTCCTCAGCAAAAATAAGTTCATTCTCTGTCTGTTTCTGTTTTGTAAATAAATTCATTTGTATCATTTCTTTTTAGATTCTGAATGTAAGGGATGTTACACACATTTCTCCTTCTCTGTCCACTCAGTATGAAAATCTCTAGGTCATTCATGTTGCTGCAAATGGCCTTATTTCATTCTTTTAGATGTCTGAGTAATATCCCATTGTATATATGTGCCACATCTTTATCCATTCCTCTGTTGATAGACATTTGGGTTGCTTCCATGTCTTGACTATCATAAACAGTGCTGCAATGAGCACTGGAGTGCATGTACCCTTTCAGACCAAAATCCATTTGTGTAATCAATGAAATATCATTATCAATGAAATGCAGAAGCAAACAGTGAGGTAGAAGTCAGCAAATGTTTGGCCATCTTCTTTCACTGTCTTTCTTTTTCTGGAACCAGTGAATGGGCTAATGAAGTTGTGATGTTAAAAGCCTGGATCTGGCATTCTCTCATGAGGGGGACTTAGCTCCTGGCAAGTGCAATTATGAGTAGAGATGTTGATTTAAATGTTAGCTTTGGGGACTTCCCTGGTGGTCCAGTGGCTAAGATATCTTTTGCAATGCAGGGGATGCCAGTTTGATCCTTGGATAGGGAACTAAGATCCTACATGCTGTGGAGCAACTAAGCCCGCTAGCCACAACTAAAGAATGCGCACACCACAAGGAAAGATCCCATGTGCCACAACTAAGATCTGACACAGCCAAATAAATAAATTAAAAACAAAAAAAGATGTTAGGCTTGGAATAAGAGAAATGCAAACCATTTTTTTAACTCCAACTTAAGAAGCACTCATAATATAGGAGTCCTTATACAGCACATCCAAGTATGAATGGGAATGCAATAATGAATTGTTCTTTTTCACAAGGGTCTGAGAATGAGAAGCCAGGCACTAGGAAAAGAGTCTAAGTCAGGGGACCTGGAGGAAATCTTTGGACAGAAGTGGTCTGATTTACATGGTGACTTGGAAGTTCAGCCTCTGTCCTGCATTTACATTGTTCTTTACTTTTGAACTTCACTGTATGGGCCACACATTGTGCTGAGTCAGTGTGTGCCCTGCCAGAGCAAGGTTTCACCTGAGCTGGAGCAGCTCACAGAACCCTCCCCATGAAGTCCCCCATGGCTACGGCCACTCCGGTACCACACCAGAAGGCGCTTGTGTTCACGTGGGGCTTGAGCCTGATCGGTTGCTGGAACCATCTTGTAGGAAAGAGTGCCCAGTTAGGGGGACTTTGGGTATCTGGTAACAACGTTTTTGCACTGATTTCTGAAGCGATGTTTCTCAACTGGGAGCAATTTTGCCCCCTAGAGGACATGTGACCATGTCTGGAGACACTCTGGTTGTCACAAATGGAGACGCTCCTGGCATCTAGTGGGATGCCAGGGATACAGCTAAACATACTTTGATGCACAGAGGAACCCCCCACAGGAATGACTGGGCCTTGAATCTCAATAGCGTCAAGTTTGAGAAACCTTGTCCTGGACCAAGTGAATATTACATCCTTCCTATTTTATTTTTTACTTTTTAGCCATGCCTTGTGACATGTGAGATCTTAGTTTGCTGAGCAGAAATTGAACCTGGGCCCCCCGTATTGGAAGTGCTGAGTTTTAACCACTGAACCATCAAGGAAGTTCCATTGTTACTGTTCAGTCACTAAGTTGTGTCCAACTGTTTTGCAGTCCCATGTATGGGCTGTAGCCCACCAGGCTCCTCTGTCCGTGGGATTTTCCAGGCAAGAATACTAGAGTGGGTTGCCATTTCCTTCTCCAGGAAATCCTCCCAGCCCAGGGGTCAAACCCATGTCTCCTGCGTCGGCAGGTGAATTCTTTACTACAGAGTCACCTGGGAAGTCCAAAGTCCCATTATATCTTTTTTTAAAACAAGCAAAGTGTAGTAGGGTTACAGTGCAGTCCCTACCATGCTGGTTTTAGCCTTGTAAAAGAAGACCTGCCTACCTTTTTATGATAATCCTGCTTTATAAAAAACAACCAGAGAACCTCAGTGATGTAACAAAATAAACCTTGATTTTTGCTCATGAGGCTGGTGGTCAGTGGTGCAATTCTGCTAATCTGGGCCAGGACTGGCTGACCTTGATGAGCCCACGGAGGTCTCTGCAGTCAGTTGCTGGTTTGGCTGGCAGCTGGCTGGTTTAGGATGGTTGGTGAGCTGTGGACTGGGATGACTGGACCACGTGGTGTTATCATCCAGGAGGCTAGCCCAGGCTTTTCACATGTCCATGGCAAAGTTTGAGAGAGAGAGAGAGAAAAAAAACACATGAGATCTGCAGGTCAAGGGTTGGAACTGGCACATCACTTCTGATGTACACCATTGGCCAAAGCAAGTTCCAAGATTCAAAGCTTGAGAAATAGACTCTGCTTTCTATGAGAAGAGCTGCAAAGTTAATTACAAAGGGCCGGGATGTAGGGAGGAATGAAAAATTTCAGACATTTTTGCAACCAATCTACCACATGCTTCTCCAATTTGAATTTACATGTATGTACCACAGTTTGGTTGAGCAGTTCCTTCCCCAGGAAGCCTTACCTAAACCCTGCCCTGTCCTCCCATGGTACCTGATAGCTCTTGTAGCTCTCCTCGTACAATGACACTGGCCAGCTGCCACTCCATCCAAGCCATCTTGGGATCCCTGCCCTCAAGCAACCATGAATAAGCATGTGGTTTCCTATCTCTGTATATGTACTAAATTTTTTTTTAATTAATTAACTATTTTTTGATCGCACTGAGTCTTGGTTGCTACATGCAGGCTTTCTCTAGTTGCAGTGGCCAGGGAGTACTCTCCTCTGTGGTTCCTGGGCTCTAGAGCACAGGCTCAGTAGTTGTGGCCTTAGTTACCTTAGCTGCCCCATAGATTGTGGAATCTTCCAGAACGGGGATCGGACCCATGTCCCCTGCATTGACAGGTGGATCCTCAACCACTGGACCACCAGGGAAGCCCTGTCCTAAGTGTTCCCTGGATCTGGCTGTAAAGCCTGAGTTAAAGAGCTTGAATTATGGCGTGAGAATCATGGCGTGAATATCACGGCGTGAGAATCATGGTGTGAGAATCATGGCGTGAGTATCATGGCGTGAGAATCATGGCGTGAGAATCATGGTGTGAGAATGCCTCTGCTCCAGTCCTGCCTTTGCCTCTTACCATGTCAAGCCAAGGGCTTCCCTCGCGGCTCAGTCGGTAAAGAATCTGCCTGCAATGCAGGAGCCCCAGGTTTGGTCCCTGAGGCAGGAAGATCCCTTGGAGAAGGAAATGGCAACTCATTCCAGTGCTTTTGCCAAGAGAACTCTACGGACAGAGGAGCCAGGCAAGGCTGCAGTCCACAGGATTGCAAAGAGTCAGACACGACTGTGTGACTAACTTTTTCTTTTTCACGTCAAGCCAAGAAAGTTAATTAATCTATTTCTAATCTATAACAATTAATCTATTTTTTGTACAGCGGGGACAAAACATCATCATGTCCAGGGGCTTGGGAGGACAGAAGGAGATGATATAGGACAAAGGCTTGGAAGAGTGGTACAGCAATCCTCAGTAAAGGTAGCTTTTTTGATTACAGATGTCTCTTTCACCATTTTGACCTAGTTGGTAGAGAACTGTGACTTTATTTATGAACTCATCCCTTACACATAGATGGGGCATCACCGTGGTCCTCCTCACACAGGAAGTGAAAAATCTATGTCAACCAGCCAGTTGGCTCCTCGGAGGCTGAATTCATTTTGCTTCTCTGGCTGGAACTGCATTCCTTCAGTCACTGGCAGAGATGATTATCTTCTCCTCCAGAGGTCACTGGAGCTGAGAAAGTCAACTCGCCTCCGGGGATATACTGTGCTCCCAGTGGGGAGGGAGTCCTACGCATCAAGTTCCTGCACTGCTGACTCATCCTGGGGAGGTTGGCGGGCTGCTAGGTCCTTATAGATCACAGGGATAATGGAGATGGCCGTGTGGGTGGAGTTTTCAGCAAGCTCCGGGGCTGAATCTGGTGTTTCTAGAACATTTTGGGAACCGTTAAAATAAGACCCATACAATTTCAGACACTTTTAAATGGCAGTTTAAAAACAGCTGCTTCTCCCATGGGCTGAGTGTGTGGATTTTATAACTGTAAAAAAATTAGAAGCTTGCCTCATGCATAATTCACTGAGTCAGTCCTGGGAGTTGCAACGCCCCTCACAGGGTGCTTGTGTCTGTCACTTTTAATATCCCACACATTGGCCCTGGTGTCTCTCACTTGGTGGATCTCTGCAGAAATGGAATCTGGTGGGAGGGTGACGTCACCAGCTTCTCCCACCTCCCCAAGCTGCTGAGTCAGGTGGCTCCTCCCTGGCTTTGAAATTGTTCTCCTTTGTAAAAGGCTTCAGGTTAGAACTGAACACTTCCAACATACTCGCAAGAGATTTCTCAGTGGCTGGAAGAAGTCTGACTGTGGAAGGAGAAATTGGGGCAAACCCAGCCAAACTAAAGTCTGCATCTTGATGGGCTGTCTCAGGAAATTTACTGAAACAGGACCTCTAGGAACCACCTATGTCACACTAATATGTTAAGTCTCTAAAATGCTTTTGTGTTGTTTAGTCAGAAGATGATAATTTAGTGCCGATTATCCTGGTTTTGGGGCTTCCCAGCTGGTGCTAGAGGTAAAGAACCTGCCTGCCAATGCAGGAGACATGGGTTTGATCCCTGGGTTGGGAAGATCCCCCAGAGGGCATGGCAACCCACTCCAGTATTCTTGCCTGGAGAGTCCCTTGGACAGAGGAGGCTGGTGGGCTACAGTCCATAGGATCTCCAAGAGTAGAATACAACTGAAGCAACGTAGCCTGCCTACATGCATCCTGGTTTTTAACTTTTTTTTTTTTGCCAAATTGCATAGCATGTGGGGTCTTAGTTCCCTGACCAGGGATGGAACCTTTGCCCCCTGTATTGGAAGCCCAGAGTCTTAACCCCTGGTCCACCAGCGAAGTCCCTATTCTGGCTTTTAAAGTGGAGTTGAACATTTCCATGTGAACTGGTCTTGCTTTTAAAGTAAGTGTTTAGTTTTTTGAAGTCATTTTAAATTTGTCCTGTTTTTTTGTTTCTACACTCCCTAGCATCAAGTTGGACACATATTGCTCAATTCCTAAGGATCAGTTCTCACAAACTAGTAGCCACAGATTTGATTCATTTGATTATTTTTGTTTTTTTGTGTTGCCTTAATGCAACATTGTAAAAGGCAATATACTGAGGTGTCACATGGGGCATGTACTTAAGCAGCCGGACAGGGTGTTAGGTGACCTGGCCACTTCATGTGTTTCTGTGCCTTCATTAGAAATTTGAGTTTCCACCACTGCTTGAGGCTCATGTGCTGGGCAGGGTCCCTCCACCTCCATCCCCCCTCTTCCTGAAGTGACATCTGCAGGGATCTCTCCTGCACTGACCTCCACCAGCACCTGCCCTCAAGGAACGTAATTCCTTAACTAGTATATACACCCTGCTGTTTTTGCTCTTCTCTATAGGTATTTGTCCTCTTTTGCTAATCACATTCTAGATCCTTTGCAAGCAGGTTCCTATTCCACTTGGTAGCCCCAGTAATGTCTTCTACAGCGTGCGTGCTTGCTCAGTCACTATGTCATGTCAGACTCTTTGCCTGCCAGGCTCCTTTGTCCATGGGATTCTCTAGGCAAGAATACTGGAGGGGGTGCTATTTCACAGAGTAGGTGCCAAATACGTGTTTGTGGGCAACTGAGATGGATATTCTGAGACAGTTGTTTTTTAATTTCAAAAATATTTTTACTTAATTTATTTGACTGCACCGGGTCTTAATTGCAGCATGTGGGATCTTTAGTTGCAGCATGTGAATTCTTAGCTGTGGCATGTGGGATTTAGTTCCCAGACCAAGGATGGAACCCAGGCCCACTGCATTGGGAGTATGCAGTCCTAGCTGTTGGACCAACAGGGAAGTCCCAAGATAGTTACTTTTAACGGGCACCTTTCTCGGAGGACTTGACTAATCCTATGGCCACAATGCTTGTGCCCATATCTCCATTTCATGTTTGATTGTAATCATGGATCTCTTTTTACTTTTTGTCCTTTATAAGCATTTAAAGATAGGTTAAGTCTCTGAGATACATCCAAACCTTGGTGCTTTCCCTTCACCTTCTCCAAAGACTCTGTTTGTTAAGCATCTGTCTGCTTTTTCTGAAGCTAGCTAGATGTTTTCCTGAATTAGTTCAAGTACAGGAAACAGACTTCAGCAAGGATGGTATTAGACACATTCAGTAGTGTCATGTTCCTTAAAAGAAAATTATTCAGCACTTACTCTGTGCTCTGTGTTGAGTAAACATGACTGGAAATTCATGACTTTTTACGGAGCTTTCAGTCTAGCTGGAGAAATACTATATACATGCATGAAATATATATAAAACCCAAGACCCTATGTATATAGCTCAGTCGGTAAAGAGTCTGCCTGCAGTGCAGGAGACCCGGGTTCGATCCCTGGGTTGGGAAGATCCCCTGGAGAAGGAAATGGCAACCCACTCCAGATTCTCGCCTGGAAAATCTCATGGACAGAGGAGCCTGGTGGGCTGCAGTCCATGGGGTCGCATAGAGTCGGGCACGACTGAGCGACTAACACTTAACACTTAAAGTCTCAGTAAGTGCTGTGAACTCCAAGGAAGGCAATGTCTCTAAAGAGAAAGGAGAAGGTTTCAGGAGAAGGCAGGTTAGTTCTGGGCCTTGAGCAAACGTAGAATTTGTAGACGTGAAATTGAGCTGGGAAGATACACCAAAAGAAGGGGGAAAATTTGTAGTGAGAAGTGTTAGAGTCACAGATAATCCAACACTTACTATCAAATCACAGATTTCTGAATCTTATTCCTTATTTGAAGAAGACCTTGTGGCACTCTCATTGGGATTCAACAAAATATTAAAAATGTCTGTGTAGCACCTAATGCATAATAGGTGATCAATAATTGCATGTTTGCTTTATAGCAACTGTGAAAAGTGGCCAAAGAGGGATTTCCCTGGTGGTCCGGCGGCTAAGTCTCTGCACTCCCAGTGCAGGAGGCTCAGGTTCTATTCCTGGCCAGGAAACGAGATCCCACATGCCTCAGCTAAGATCAAGGATCCTTTGTGCTACAACAAAGACCCGGCACAGCCAAATGAGTAAATACATTCTTTAAAAGTAGGCAAAGCAAGTGTGTGGTCCAGAAGAAAGGACTGTCTAGTGGAAACACAAGGGAGCAGTGACACGTGATGAGGGAGACTTAGGTGCCCTGGAGGTCACCTGCTGGAGAGCGGAGATGTCTGGATGAGGGTTTGGGCTTTAAGCAGTTGGCTGCTCTGCACAGGGCAGCACTGGTGATTTTTTAGCAGATTTTGCAAGTTCCTAATTTGGAAAGTACACATGCAGAGGCACCGGAAGTCGTGGGTGGAGGGAGAGGGCTGAGTCCGATCCACTCATTATGCTCATGCGAGTGAGGTTTTGTCTCCAATGATGTGAGAAAGGTTTAGGTCAAAGTAAGCCTTCTAAAATACGGATAGCCTGAAATACTAAAATCCTGAGATCTAAAATAATCTAAGTCTGAAATACTAAATTTAAAATACTGACAACCCATGAGGACCCCGCCGCCACTCTCCAGAGCCAGGAATTCTGAGTAATTCCTCTCTGAATCATTCAACTGCTTTGTATTCCAGAAACTCAACCGGCATGATAGCGATTCTCTAATTTTGCCAAGTTGGAATCAATTCTAGGCAAGAGGACTGATGAACAGCTGAAGTTTTCCTTGGCTCAACAGCTCTTAAATAAGTAATATATTTTCTGTATATTATTTATATTTGTAGCTATTGTTCGTAAGCTGGTCAGGCCTGCCCAACCATTTTGCCAGTGTTGTGTGGCCGTTGTTCTCAGAGTAACAGTAAAATGTCATCATTTTCCTGAACAAAATTGAACAGCTAATAAGCCTTTTGGGTGAAAAGAGAAGAAGAGAAATAAGGGAAACATTTTACAATTTCTATGCATTCTGCTGTTTTAATTTCTTGTTGTCTATCTTAAACAATAACCCACACTATGTTTATGGATCAGAGGAAATTCATGATCTTTACCTTTGTTCAAGTTTTAAAAAATAGCCATTTGGGGCTTCCCTGGTGGCTCAGATGGTAAAGAGTCTGCCTACAATGCAGGATACTGGGATTCGATCCTTGGGCTGGGAAGCTCCTAGGGAAGGTAATGGTTACCCACTCCAATATTCTTGCCTGGAGAATTCTATAGACAGAGGAGACTGGTGGGGTATAGTTCATGGGGTCACAAAGAGTCAGACACAACTGAATGGCTAAAACTTCCACTTCTTTTTCCTTTTTGGATTACCCAAGGGAAAGAGTGGGAAGAGGGATAGTAAGGGAATTTGGGATGGATGTGTACACACTGCTATATTTAAAACACTACTGTGTAGCACAGGGAACTCTGCTTCAAGTCATGTGGCAGCCTGGATGGGAGGGGAGTCCAGGGGAGACAGGGTATATGTGTGACTGAGTCCCTTTGCTGTCCACCTGAAACTATCACAAGATTGTTAATCAGCTACACCCCAGTATAAAATAAAAAGCTTAAAAAAAAGTAGCCATTTGGCCCAAACAGCACGACAAACCACGTGGCAAAGAGGAGAAATAAGCTTTATAGTCAGAAGGTATATTTGAGTTGAGGTCCGGGTTGAAAAACCTCTATTAAGTCAGAAGAGTCTAACAGAGTCGTCAGAAGGCTCTTCACAACCAGTTGATCAGAGTGGTTTCAGATCATTCTACTGCCAAGAAGTTCCCCGCCTGGTCCTTTTTGTAGAAGGACATGCCTTCCCAACCTGAGAACTAAACACAAGTAGATGGAAAGGATGTTGACCCAGCTGCAATATTGTTGTGTGACACTTAACATCGACCTTGAAAGGAGCAGGGCATTATCCAATCAGAGAACAACAAATGCATCCACTTGAAAAGTCCAGAGGGGACTTAACTCTTGACTATTATTTTATGTCACTCCAAGAGGTTCTGAGATAACTCTGTACAGGCAGATTTATCTCAGATACACTTAAGTGTGGATCATGTAAACAAGGCTTGATGTCTTTAATGAAAGCCCCAGTCAAAGTTGGGTGGATTGGTTAAGAGCCTACCGTGTACCCAGCCTTGGGCTGAGTCCTGAGGATATGACAAGTAGTCCACGATTCCTGCTTAGGAGCTGAGGCGGTCATGAGGCACACACACCAGAGCAAACATTCTCTCAAGGCAGCCTATGCAAATACTAGATGAGGGGCACCCTCAGTGCTGCTGTATTTCCAGTGGGAAGCTTGGCAGCGTTTAGGGGCAAATCAGTTCAGTTCAGTCGCTCGGTCGTGTTTGACTCTTTTTGACCCCATGAACCGCAGCACACCAGGCCTCCCTGTCCATCACCAACTCCCAGAGTTTACCCAAACTCACGTCCGTTGAGTTGGTGATGCCATCCAACCATCTCATCCTCTGTCATCCCCCTCTCCTCCTGCCCTCAATCTTTCCCAGCATCAGGGTCTTTTCAAATGATACTATGTATCAATTTGACAGGGGCTGCGGGCTCAGACAGTAGTTGAGGATGGGGTTTATAGCTGAATCATGAGAGGCTTTGACAGCCAGGAGCACTTCAGCTTTGCAGGCAGCTAAGGGCCATGAAAAGACTTTGACCTGCAGCATCGAGAGTGCCTTTAATTTAGGAGGATAAACCTGGTAGCGATGTGTTGGGGAAATCAGAGTCAGGAGCAACAAGTCCATAGGAGAGCTGGAATGGCTTAGATGGCAGCTGGCAGAGAATAAGCTGGGATGGAACTAGAAAAAGACAAATGAGTGGAATCATGATGAAAGAAGCAGTCTTTGTGTTTGCTTCCTTCCTGGTTGGATCGAAGTTACTGTCTTAGCTCAGGCTGTTATAACAAGATGCTGTGAACTGGGAGCTTAAACAACAAACATTCATTTCTCACAGTTCTGAAGGTGGGGAAGTCCAAGATCAGCAGATGCTCTGTCTGATGCGGACGTGCTCCATGATTTGCAGATGGCTGTCTTCTCACTGTATCCTCACTTGGCTGAAAGAAAAATAATTTATCTTGTGTTTCTTTTTATACAGACACTGATTCCATTCATAAGAACTCCACCTTCTTGACCTAATTCCCTCCCAAAGATCCCACCTCCAAATACCATCACAATGAGGGGTCAGGATTTTAACATGTGAATTTTGAAGGGATATAAAGATTCAGTCCATAACAGTTACCATAATTATATCTATAATACTACTGATTTAAATGCAAGTTTCTTGAAAGTAATGCTTTGTTTGCAAAGCGGGCTCTGTTGGTTGAATTAAATTGTGTATAACCTAATACACAATTATGCTGAAATCAAATCAATGCTGAAATCAGATTTTTTCAGACTGATTATGCTATTAATAAAAATCTGTCTAGCTGCTCTCTAAGACATACCAACTATTAGTCTGTTTTGGATGTCAAGATTATTTCATGCAAACAGTGTATTTCCTGACAGTGCATTACTTTGAATAGAAACAGTCCCACCCCACGCCCTGCAAAACACACACAATCAAAAGTCTCAGAATCAGAAATGCTTATTATTAGTTAAATAAAACAGGAAGGAAATGTGTAAGAAAGTAAACACTTTATTTGGGGCAGAAACCTAAAAACTCTAAGGGGTGTTAATCAATTTCTTGGGCATTTAAGCATTTCATCACATTTTGTTTTTCTACTTTTTTAATTCATCAAACCTCCAGCTTGGGGATTTGTGATCTATAGAAAACTTTTTTTTTAATGTAAAAAGCTTTTCAACAAACATCCCCAACAACCTTTTATATGAATACCACTTCTCCTCAGAATGCAAAAATAGAAACTACTTTTTATTCTGAATAATGTATAGTGTTCTGTTCTCTGAGGATGACTGGAGTGCCTACTTTATCTAAGCGTCAGAGAGTTCTTTGCTTAGTCTGGCCATCTCTTGCAAGAGCTGTGTATTTTTGGGGCACTGGGGCAACCTCATGTCCACTGCTGATACTAATTGTGTCTTCTTACACTGTCTGCTTTTTCACTTTTGCTCACAAGCTGAATATTTTCACACTTTTGTTCATTTTGGATCACCCACTTTTCATATGAGAAGTAGAATACTCAGCATAATCTTTGAAACCAGATTACATCTAGGCTCTAATACTTGATGGGTGCATGACCTTGATTAATTATCTCTGGAGCCTTTGTTTCCTTATTTGAAGGTGGGGATAATGAACCCTACTTTCCAATAATTTTTGCACATCAAATAAAATGAGATAATGAAGGTAGAGGATACAGTAATCTTAGTAAACATTAGTAAACATTTCCATATTTGGTGGGTATTTCTCCCTGAGCATTCTAGTGCTTCAGTATGATGTGTAATGAAGAGACAGAGACAAATCCCTCTGTGCTTTGTTAACAATAACAGTGGTCCTCAAAGTGTGGTCCCCCAACCAGCAGCATAGGCATTCACTTCAGTCCTACTAAATCAGGAACACCAGGGTGGGGTCCAGCAAATAGTGTTGTAAAAACTCCCCAGGTGCTTGTGTTTTCTTTTTTAATTTTTGCCAGCGTGTATTTGCTTTGTACTGTTGTGTTAGTCTGTACTGCATGGCAAAGTGAATCAGCTATAAGTGAAAGTGTTAGCCGCTCAGTCATGTTCGACTCTTTGTAACCCCATCGACTGCAACCCACTGGGTTCCTCTGTCCATGGAATTTTCCAGGCAAGAGTATTGGAGGGGTTAGCCATTCCCTTCTCCCGGGGATCTTTCCAACCCAGGGATGAAACGTGGGTCTCCTGCATTGCAGGCAGATTCTTCACGATCTGAGCCACCAGGGAATCGGCTGTATGTATACACACAGCCCCTCCTTTTTGGACTTCTGTCCCATTTGGCTCACCACAGAGCGCTTAGAGCTCCCTGTGGTGTGCAGTAGGCTCTCATCAGTTATCTACTTTATGCATAGTATCAATAGTGTATAGATGTCAGTCCTGGCCTCCCAGTTCATCCCACCCTCCTCCCAGGCGATTCTGATGCACACCGACATTTGAGATCTGCTGATCCTAGATAAAGGCCCGGATGGTGTGTATGTGGGTTAACCAGGGCAAAGGTGGGTATGTGTACATGCACGTGAGTGTGTGTGGCTGGTGGGGTGCTGGAGTGTCAATCTTCATTATTTACAAATACAGCTAAAGGAAATAAGTCATGGACGTGGATCTGGAGAGTAACTAAATAATGTAGATGTGGTCTTCTGTGTCTGGTCATGTTATTTGTTTCCTTTCTTTGTCAAGCTAGGTCTTGGGCACCAGGGAATTAGGGGTAAATAGAGTTTGAGTCCTGTGTCCTGTTGAGATCTTGAGATGGTCCTGAATCCTGGCCTCAGAGTCACAGCTCTGGTGCCTCCAGATGGGCCCTGTTGTCTTGGAGAAGTAGGGGACCTGTCTTCTCTTGGGAGCAGGCACTGAGTTGTCACTGGAAAGGCAGACCACTCTATTCAGAATTTTTTTTTTCTAGTGGAGGTCATTTTGCCAATTTCCTATGGCTCTGAACCAGGCCTCATTTGAGTTTTGCTCATGACGGGCAGGAAGGCTGAGTGTGTGTGTGTGTTAGTTGCTCAGGTGTGTCCGACTCTGCCACCCCACGGACAGTAGCCCGCCAGGCACCTCTGTCCATGGGATTCTCCAGGCAAGAATACTGGAGTGGATTGCCATTCCCTTCTCCAGAGGATCTCCCCAACTCAGGGATCGAACCCAGGTCTCCTGAATTGCAGGCAGATTCTTTCCCATTTGTGGCTGAGTTGACCCTAAATGCTGTTAGCGTCACATGAGAAGCTACTTCTGAAAATGGTCACAGTTCTCACCCTTCAGTATTTTGTGTTTAAATGATAGCAAAGCAGTCACATACACTAATCCATGTGTAGAGATCTGGCTCCCTCCTGCCCCCTTGTGGACAGTCGGTTTCACTGCATCCTGAGCTGAGCCTGTCACTTACTTCCTTGGGCTCATTGGTGAAAGGTCTGAGGTTTGCCTCTCTATTCTGTGTCCTTTCTCCTATCTTGAGCTTCTGTAGCCATGTGACTTTTCATTTAGCAGATATTGATTTGGGGAGATACAAACGTTATGATCAAAACCATCTCATCGCCGTTGTGTGGATCAGGTGCTCATTGCTAGGGATGTGTGACATTTGGCAGAACTGGTGGGTTCCTGTGAATACATTTGCTGCACCTCATGCTTGAGGTTCTTTTAATACACATTTAAAAATTCATATTTTAAAATAGAAGTATTTTAAAATTTTATACTGGTAATATGTTTGCTTTAGAAAAATTTAAAATGACACCCTCACTTCTAACACTTAGATGTTGTGCTGTTTATCATTCCATGTACCTCTCCTACCCCAAATTCCTACTTTCTCACCTTTCTCTTCCCTGTGAGTGAGTGATAGTTGCTCAGTCATGCCTGACTCTTTGCAACCCCATGGACTGTAGCCTGCCAGGCTCCTCTGTTCATGGAATTTTCCAGGCAAGATTACTGGAGTGGGTTGCCATTTCCTTCTCCAGGGGATATTCCTGACCCAGGGATCCTGCATTGCAGGAGAGTCTTTACCATCTGAGCCACCAGGGAAGCCTACTATTAAGAGACATTTCTAAGTATAAAGACAGGTCAACTCTTTCCTGATTCCTCTTTAATTCTACTCATTTCTTCCACATACAAGAAAATAGAGATGAGGAGGGGAGATTAGACAAGGTCAGAGAGTGAACAATGCTGACTTTGTGTCCTGGACTTTCCTGATTGGGATGGGCTGTAGTCTTCACGAAGTGACTCAACGCCCCTCCTGGTTCAGCCTGGTCATTTCACACCACCTAAGACACATAGCCCCTCTTCCTCCTTTTTTTGACCTCTTCTTTATCATCAATTCCATCTGCAGGCTCAAATCTCCCTTTCCTTTGGCTCCTTAACATCTTTCTTCATTTTCAGTGTCAGAGAAAGGAAAGGAAAGTCATTGTCTGAGTATTATTGGCTGGGCTGAAAATGCTTTCTAGGTTCCCACCTGGGAGCTTCCACAGCCTTCTGTGAGCCTGTTCATATTTTTCTTGTCGGTTAATAAAGGCTCTTAGAGTTACTAATGCTAGGTTTGCCATCAAAGTTAAAAAAAATTTTTTATTCATTCACTCACTCATTCATCCAACAAACATTTAGCACTTAAGATGTGTCAGAGGTGGTTCTAGATTTTGGGAATTCAGTGATTTTAAAAGGATCCCTGGGGTCTCTGCTCTCATGGAGGGAAGAGAAACATGAAAGCTAAGAAGTAGTTTTATATTTTGGTGAGTGTCTTGCAGAAAACAAAAGGTGATGGGGGAGGTTGCTACTTCTCTGAGTAGGTGACATTTAATTTAGGAACTAACAATGAGAAGAAGTTAGGAAACTCTTCTGGGCAGAAGAAACAGCAAGTGCAAATACTCAATCGTCTGAGTAGGCTTCTTGCACCCGAGGACCTAAATGAAGGTTGCTGGGGGTCATAGCAGAGAAATTAAGAGGGATGAAGAGGTAGGAAGGCCAAGGTAAATTTGGTTCTCAGCCTAGATATGAGGTTCAAAGCCAAAGGACTGGAGAAGAGAAAATGGGTTTGACAAATGTATCTTTAAGAGGAAGAATGAGCTGAACTTGTTAATAAGTAGGGGGTGAGGAAGAGAGTCTGCCCCAGGTTTCTTAGGAGGGCAGCAGCGTGGGTGGTGGGTTCCATGAAGACTCCACTAATCAGCATCTTATCCAAATTCCCACAAGGAGGAGGAGCAGATTGCATGTGTGTGTGGGGGTGGGGGGAGGATAGAAGAGCATTTTCCCTGCTACACATGCTAAGGCCCCAGCACAATAGGGCACAGGCAGCCTATTTCAGGTCTGTGTTTTCATTCTGAAGAGAGGCACCTCCCTACCCCCAATCCTGGCTGATCAGAGGGCTCAAACTGAAACAAGGACGGAAAGTACTTTATTTCTAAGAGACGGAAAACTCCCTCATCTAGATCACTATAACCTATCCATCTG